CTCCAAAGCAGTGAATTTCTCAATTATATCATGTTTTTGTGAAATAGAGATGTCAGGGTAAAAGATTGATCATGTGAATAAAAAAGCATTACTATTCAGTGAAATAAAACCAAATAATCCTGAAATACAGAAATTATTTAAACTGTGAGCAAAATCTAGTTTAAAATACAGCAGTACAAATAAAACTAAAGCATTAGATGTCTGCAACTTAAACTATTAAAATTGAATATAAAATAAAATGAAATTTTAAATACACAAAGGATGGCATATTCCAAGTGCTAAAGGAAAATGAAACACTCCATATTGGAACTGCTTTTCCGGACACAAAGCAAAGTGTTGTGTGTCTGTCTAGCTTATTTCAAAACTACACAGATTCCGGGTGAGTCCAGAGATGGGTTAGAGAGATCGCAGAGTCGAGAGAGGAGCCAGTTTTGTAAAGGCCTGGTGTGTGCAGCAAAAGGAAGCTCCACTGTAATCACCTTCAATGCTAGTAGCTTCCTTTATGAGAAGGTGCTTTAACTTTGGACAGATGTACAAAAAAATGTAAGCTGGGTGGTGAGCTAGAAATATCACTGAATTTCAAACTTTGTGCATTGCTTTTAAATCACCATGTCTCCACTAAAGATCTAAATTTAAATTCTCTTAAACATTTTACTCTTCTTTTATTCCTTCTGTAACATAAGAAAATCAGTCTAGGGCACGGGTAAAATCCCTCCTACTGAAGAATATTTCTGATAGCTTCACTTGTGTATGACTCAGAGGCACATGTGGTCTGGTAGTAGATCCCACTCTAGTCACTGGGACGCACTCCAAACTGGGAAAGATGATTCAGAGCTTGAACACGGAGCTCTCGTGCTTATTTCTAATTTTCTGTAGAGAGCTACTCTTCCTTGAGATAGGGGCTTGCTCTGTAGGCCAGCGTGACCTGGAACTTCCTCCAGGCCTGGGCTCCATGTGTGCTTTCGCTGTCTTATTTCAGTGGCGTTTAGAAGTCAAACTATGCTTAGCCCATTACAATGCACTAGGAACATCCTTATATCCCTACTCTCAAAATCCAGTTACATGTACTCGGGAAGTGCATTAGAAATTCAGATGAATTCTTGGATCTCAGACCTAGAGCTGATCTGCTACGGATTTAGGGAGGCCGAGGTAGTGGCAGACGCTCGGTCGGATCCAGATCCAGCACATGGAAAAGAAACAGGCGTTCTTGGGCATGTGCTTGGTCAGCATCTGCATAAATTCAAAGGGACGGCAGTGAAGACATGAACTGTGATTTATATTAAATTTTCTTTTAATGTCTGGCTGAATACCAATCTTTTACCCCAATCTGAACATTTTCATGCTGCGTGATAAATCCACTAAAAGAAAAAGGCACGGGCTGGTGAGATGGCTCAGTGGTCTAAAGCACCTACTTAGAACAAGCTTAGCAAAAGCATCAGGGACCGCGGTTCAATCCCCCAGCACCACATGCCAGCCAGCCCTGCCCCCTGGTGGGCTGAGCTGGCCTCTCTCTCTCTCTCTCTCTCTCTCTCTCTCTCTCTCTCTCAAATAAATAAATAAATAAAATTAAAAAAAAGAAAAAGAAAAAGAAAAAGGCAGCCACCATGTATGAACTTGGATTTTTTTTTTTTTTCAGTGCCAGGGATCAAACTCAGGACCTTGCACTTGCCAGGCAAGTCCTTATGCCACTGAGCTGTCTCCCTGGCCTGAAATTGGATGTTCATTAAATAAAAAGCATCTGTATCCTAAGAAATTTACTTTTGGTTTTTTGACTAAAGGCCTCACATTGTCCGGCAGGCTGGCCTTGAACTCATGATAAAGGCCGTCCTGACCAAGAATTCATGGAGGTCCTCCTGCCTGAGCCTCCCAAGGGCAGGGATAGGAGTCATACACCACCACCCGAGCTCTCAGAAACATTTTTTGAATTTACCAATGTTAAATTTTATCTCACTCACTTCTGAAGCCGCTGTACACTAGTCAAAACCTTGGGTTTTTTGTTTTTTATTTTTTTTTTAATAATATGAGTGGGATAGGCTCTGGGAGTGACTTTGGCTGCAGGTAAGGGATATAAAAGTGGGCCAAGAGAGCATACTGATTATTTTTTAATTCAGAGCTGTTGAGCTTCCTTAGTTTTACATGGAAACACTCATCCACAGCAGGTCCAGGGAGAGCTCAGGCATTGCCCTACAGAAGACTTCTGGAGACAGAGAGGTCCAAGCTACTAGAGAAAGTAAAACTTCTCAAAAGTGATTCTCTAGTATATTCTAGTAATGGAAAATATTCTAGTAACGTGATTCATGTGGTGTAATTCAAAATTGAATCATGATGTTTCTCCTTTATGCAAATATGCCTTCACTGTTACTCAATGAAGCATTCATCTAGGTGTTACTGAGCAGAGATTTGAAAATGAAATTAAATCCCTGGAGTGGTGCCCTACAGCAGGGTGATCCCCCTGTGTGACCCAGACCTAATCACCTAAGCGCATAGAAGGCGAGCTTCGAGAGATGAAGGAGCAGTGGGCAAAGCATGTGGGTGCAAGCCCGCCCTGAAAGCACGTTGCTTGGTAAATCCACTAAGAGACCACCACATAGGAGGCTGCCACAAGGAGCCATGTGCTGAATGATGCCCTGCAGGAAAGTGGAGCATCAGTGTTATAATTAAAGGAAATTGAATCCAAATGCATTAGTTTTCCTGTCCCTGAGACACACCTCACCCCTACAACGTAAGCAGAGACCCAATCTGACTCAGCCTTCTCAGGATATTCCGTTCATAGCTATGTGGGATCCACAGCAGAAGCGTCACAGGGCAAGCACGTCCTCCCAAGGCCTCCGGGAAGCTGGACAAGGGAGCAGTGCTGGAGGAGAAGGCACAGAGCACTGGGTCCTCCAGGACCTTCCCAGACACACAAAAGTGTTGCAGCAACCCCCTGGGCAACTTCCACGCTAATCAAGTTGACACAATCAAGCTCAACCGCTGCATTACAGGTTTTGTTAGCTAGACACTCAAGGAAAGCTCCTTAAACCATATTTAATTCACAAATCCAAAGTCATAATTCCACCCAACAAGACAACTACTTTACTTACAACTGTAAACACAATAATCCTTCCTCAACATCTCAATATGTCCAACATTTTTAAAAAGTCCAAGTCTACTCAGATACCCAAGACATGCTATTATCTATGAAATTTAATAAAAGTTAAAGTAAAATTGCATAATCCCAAAACATAATGGCTCAGAATAAACATTCAAATTCCAAAATGGACTAAGAAAAGGAGAGAAAACAATCAGATCTATGAAAGAATGAAATTCAGCAGGCCAAACATTAAATCCTCTGTCTCTGTATTTGACATCTGGGGCACATGTTGGTAAGATGTGAGTTCCCAAAGGACTGGAGACCCCACCCTACAGTCCTGCCCGTTGTGGCCCACATGACTTCTTCCTTGACCTGGTTCATTCATGACCTGCAGCTCTTCTCACCAGAGTTTGCATGCTGGCATCCCTGACTTTCTGGAGTAGCCAGTGAACCTTTGACTTCTCTCCTAAAGCCTCTCACACTGCCACCTGAGGAGTTCTTGCCTGCCTCCCAAGCCTTCCTTTGAAATCTGGGTAAAAGTCTCCCTGACCTCAAAATGCTTTCATTCTTCATGCTATTAAAAACCTAGCATCAACTATTCTGGGAAAATTCTCATAAAGGGAATAACTAGCTTGAATGAGACCACTATCCCTAATTTTAGGGGCAATCTACACACTGATTTCCACAGTTAGTACTTATGTTGTTTGATCAATTTTACATGCCTATGCCTATATTTGGTAATCTGAGTAACTACTTTGAGGATAAAAATATGCAATAATAATCATTCTTAATTGCCTACCATTTTTTAAAATTTTGCTATCATTTTTTTAAAATTCTCTTTAAAATAAAATAAAAACCATTGTCCTGTGAATGATGCCATCATCTGCTGTAAACAGAAGCAGTAGCTGGGCCCCCTTAGAACATGGCTGCAGCAGACTTTGCATCATGGGATGGCTGAGTACAGATAAAACAATCCTACAGAACCAATTACTCTGAAACCCTTTCTCAAGAAGATGTAAAGGTCTCTCTTCACAAATGAAAGGATTACATTTTTAAATCCTTGGTCCTGTTATTGGTGGGATATTACTGATTTCTAAAATGTTCTGAAGGCATCTTTATTCATATGCCTGTAAAAAAGCCTTTGGTTTCTTTTTAATTGTCCTAATCTCTTAAGAACCAACACTTCTTTTGGTTCCAACTCTACATATGTCTTCTTCCACACCAAAATTTTTATGTTTTTCAAAATATTTTGGTTTGCTTTTTGCTCTAAATTCTAACTATACATTTCACTGAAATTAGCATGCAATACAAATGCCACAGCCTAAATTTTCTCTTGATTAATAAATCTATTGCACTTAATCAAAGCCATAGGAAATCTGCACAGCAGCGACAAATGTTTTGTGAGTATAACGTGCACAACTTCTAGTCCAATTGCGAATAAAGTCTTTATACCCAACTGACCCTGCCTGAGCACTCAGCCTTTATTGTTGATCTTCTGATCTTTGACTGGAATCTTCCACCAGGCTCTGCTTATATTTTTTCAGGGCTTCTTTAGCATCTCCAAAAGTTTCCAGGTAGCTCCTGCAAGTCAGTGTCAGAGGCTTCTAAACCATATGGCAGAATCACAGGTGTGGCAATGCCCTACATCTCTAGCACCAATTTTCTGTAATAGATTTAGCATCCCTGAAACAGAAAAACACCCAATCATTAAAAGGGAGAGAGGCGTAATTTAGTTCACCTTCTCAGACATGCAGTGCATGATCAGCCAGCCCCAGGGTAGCCATGTCACAGCAAAAAGGGTGCAGCAGAGCAATATTCAACTCATGCTCACAGGAAACAGAGCAGAGGCACAGCACCAGAGAGGAAGGGTGTGAGGCTAAGTAGAGTGCACAGGCCAGGAGTCAACAGCCCCTCCAGACACTCCCAGAAATGTGCTTCTGACCCAGAAAGTTCTTTTTTTTTCTTGAATTTTTTTTATTGGTACATTTTATATATACACAGTGTTAGCATTCATCATAGGGGAATTGTACCTTGCTTCAAACAATAGTTTCAAGCCTTTTTTTTAAGATTTAAAATTTCTGAATTTAGTTCAACTTATAATACCACATTTCCAAGAAAAATGAACCTTTTGCAAAGACATTTAAATAAAATCATACCAGGATGCACAAAAATGAAATTGTCCAAAACTTCTTATAAATAAAAAATCATTAAAGCATATATATATAAATATTAGCTATGTAAGAACAATATTAAATAGCATCTTATTCCACATTAGAAGGAAAAAAATTAAAAGGACCAAGGGTGTAAGAAACTAGATTAAAGGACTGAAAGGAAAGATCTGTTCTCTTTGAATTTCATACTTAGCAACTAAAAGTAAGATTTTCTAGTTATACAAACTTGAAAAATTTAATACTTCCAGAAGTAGCATATAGGAAATAACGAAGAGCATAATTCAAAAGGCAAGAGAAGTTGCAGTATGCTCCTGGATGAACAATAAAGAGCTCTCAATATGATAGTTACTCAGGACTATATAAAAGATATATTAGATGAACCCTTATTTAAAGGTCATTGCAAATTTCTATGAAACAGCACCAATCTTATGTTGGGTTATATATGTATTTTTTTCCATATATGTGTGTGTATGTGTGTATAAAAGACAGGGAAGAAGTAATATAAAGTCAACAGAAAATGGAAATATACTTTTTAAAGTTTCTAATACTAGGAGAAGATATCATACAATGCCTTTTAAATAAATTGTAAGTCAAAGATATAGTATAAATCTTAGAACAAAAATTAAGATTAAGCAATATTCAGAGAATTAAATACTAATTAAAATTAAATGTTTCAAAACAATTGAACTAAGAAAAAGTTTTCTTGATAGCAAAGGAGTACTAAGAGTAAAACATAAGATAAATACTGGAATGGCAAGTAAATGACCAGCACTTCTAACAGTTTGAGGATAGGATATCGCATAAAGTTCTAGTGTGTTGTGGACATGCATAATGACCGTGACAGTTACTAGTGGCTAGGCGTCACTTGTGGAACTGAGCTACAGCTATTTCTTTGAAATCCACCTTGTAGACTCAGGTGGAATCATGACCCATAGGGTGGAAGAGAAGTCCATTTGTAGGGTGTGCTGATGAAAATATTCTGCTGCTGAACACAAAAGAATAACTGAAAGACTACTATAGTGTACCTCTTATTCTCCTGTGTTTGTTTGCCCTATTTCATGTGTTCTTTCCATTCTCATTCATGGGGCTATGATCAATTTGC